AAAAATCTACTGAATTCTCTCGTCAAAAATCTTGTTTCCATCATTTCTAGGGTTTGTCGCTGAACCAGTGAGATTTAGTATCAGATTATTATCTTCATCGGAGAAATCGAAAAAGTGAAACTATGGGAGATGCGAAGAAGAAAACAGGGGAAATTCGAGGAGGAGATGTCGAGATGTGCCGGAATTTGATTCCGACTTTGCCGGATGACTTGGCGATGGAGTGTTTGCTTAGGGTTCCTTACCAGTTTCATTCCGCCATGAAATCCGTCTGCCACGCGTGGCGGAGCTTGATCTCTCACCCGTCGTTTTACCGGGAGCGCCGGAGATGCGGCAAAGCTGACCCTCTTCTATGCCTCGTTCAATCGCTGGTTCCCTCAACGCCTCCGGCGACTGAATCAGTGGTCTACGACGGCGAGAAGAAAACAGAGGACGGCGAGTCGGTCCAGCCGCGCGTCTGCGACACGCTCCGGTACGGGCTGAGCGTGTACAACGCGTCGGCAAACACGTGGCACCGCGTCGCTCTCCCGGAGAGGATCCCCTTGTTCTGCGAGTGCGTCGCGCTTCAGGACGCTGGAAAAGTTCTGCTGATCGGCGGTTGGGACCCGGAGACGCTGCAGCCAGTGAGGGACGTGTTTGTGCTCGACTTCGCCGGCGAAGGAAGCGGCCGGAGGTGGCGGCGCGGGGCACCAATGGCGGTGGCTCGGTCGTTCTTCGCTTGTGCCGCCGTCGGTCCGGCGAAGGTGTACGTCGCAGGAGGGCACGACGACCAGAAGAACGCCCTGAGATCGGCGGAGATGTACGACGTGCAGAAGGACGAGTGGAGGACGATCCCTCCGATGGAAGAGGGAAGGGACGAGTGCCATGGCTTCACCATGCCGGGAGATCTAGGGTTTTGCGTGTTGAGCGGTTATGGGACGGAGACTCAAGGCAGATTCCGATCGGACGCCGAGGTCTACGATCCAGCTTCAGATTCCTGGACCAGAATCGAAAACGCATGGCCGTTTCCGGACACAAGTCCGAGAGGCCGAATCGTCGTCTCCGGCGGTGAAATCGGTGGACGGAGGTTACGGTGCTTTACTAACAGCGATAGACAGAACCAGCTTCGATGGGAAGCCGAGGACAATTCGAAGAAATGGAAGCTGGTGGTGGAGACGATGAAGCTTCCGGTGGCGGGAACGTCGATCTTCGCTGGAAGCATGGGGGGATGCGGCGGAGAGAGAGCGGTGGTGATGGTCGGAGCAGAGACGAAATGCGGAGGAGAATGTGAAGGGGAAGGGGCGATGATGATGATGATGACGACGGCGGAGAAGCAAGGAGTGAAGTGTGGACATGTTCATACGCCATTAGGGTTTTCGAGTCAGCCCTTTTCCCATACCACTATCTGTCTCTGAGTTTTGGAACCGTGGCTTTGTTTCGTCTTTTTGTTTTTTGACCAACGAATGTAATGTAATGTAGTGGCGGGGTTTTGTCTGAAGATCCTTCTTTCATAACACAAAGCAGTGTCCTCTTCTACATAAATAGTACAACATCATTTTTTTTTTCAAAGTATCGATGTAATTACACCAACACTTTAGGGAAATAACAAGAAAAAGAATCCGATTAAACAAAAATAAAAGAAAGAAAAGAATGGTCTGAAGCCGAGGATCTATCTAGTGGAGCAATAAGCTGGCTGGGGTTTTCATTCAAAGCAATTGCCAGTC